TGTTCGCCTGCCTCGGCCTCCCAAAGTGCTGGGATTACTGGCGTGAGCCACCGTGCCCGGCCGAGTTCAAGTCTTTGATCCATCAATTTTGAGTGTGGTGGTCTGGACAAGCCACTTATCTTCTGGGCCTTAGTTTCCTACATAACCATCCAGGCCTGGATTGCAGAATAGTTGCATGGGTAAGAAAATGGGTGGGAAAGAATTGTCAAGGACCCAGCCCACTTTAGAATCTGACACATGACATTATTGTCAAACAACACATAAATGAAGCACCAAGCTCCAGGGAGGGAAGTGGGCTGTGGCGGCTTCCTGCACTCTGCCTCCTCTGCTTCTCTTTCCTCCCCTTTCTAATCTCCCTAGGATCATGCAAAGGTGAGGAAGATTGGGTGGGGGTGGGAGGGCAGAATCCGGTGGGACTGGATGTCAAAAGACGTGGGTTCCAGTCCCAACTCTATCCCGTACTCCCTGTAACAGTTTGGACTCATTTATGGTCTGTATCAGTCACTACAGCAAGCAATTATATCTTAAGTCCCATATTTTTATCTTAAAGGGTCATGTGAATTTGGCATTCTGTTCTGTATCTTTGTTTTAATATAAAAATAAAGTTTGTCCTGTATGAGAACACTGAACAAACACCTGCTGTGAATTTGCTGTGTGACCTTGGGTCAGTCCCACAGGCTTTTCTGGCCTGGGGTGGGCGCCTAGCTACAAACAGGAAGAGGAACAAGTCGTGCAACCTCTCTGATTGGACCTGCCTCAGGTCATATGCCTATCCCTGAGCCAATCGTTGTGGTTGGGGAAGGGGATGCAATGTGTTCATTGGCCAGGCCTGGAGCACTGGCTCAAGCCTTGGTCTTGGGCCTCGAGGTTTCACCCACAACCTCCGGATCCGGTGGGGCAGCGCCTGCACAGAAATCCAGGCTTCTCTGCTGGGAGGGGAGGAAAGGGAGGCAGAGGATGCAGAGTGCAGGAAGCCGCTACAGCCCACTTCCCTCCCTGGAGCTTAGTGCTCCATTTATATGTTGTTTGACAATAATGTCATGTGTCAGGTTCTAGAGTGGGCTGGGTCCTTGAGGTCTCAGTAGGGCAGGGAGACGCAGATGCAAAATTCTTTCTTTCTTTCTTTTTTTTTGAGACAGGGTCTCACTGTCGCCCAGGCTAGACTGCGAATATGTGATCTTGGCTCACTGCAGTCTCTACCTCCAGGGCTCAAGCGATCCTCCCACCTCAGCCTCCTGAGTAGCTGGGACTACAGGTGCGTACCACCTCGCACATTTACTTTTTGTATTTTTAGTAGAGACAGGGTTATGCCATGTTACTCAGGCTTGTCTTGAATTCCTGGACTGGAGCGATCTGCCTGCCTTGGCCTCCCAAAGTGCTAAGTGCTGGAATTACAGGGCTGTGCCACTGTGCCCAGCCTACTCATGGTTTTTAGGGCCCTGGATGTTAGGATGGATTGCTAATAAATCTCTCACCAAGATGTGATTTGCATAGTTGTCACTTTATTATAATATTAATTTCCTTCTGGGACCTTTCCAAGTCTGAAACCGTCCCGGGGACTTCTTTTGGTTAGTTATTTGCAATCACCTGCAGGACACACAAGAAAATCGTCAGGTTCACCTAACCGCAGAGCTGTGCATGGCAGTTTCCTGTCTCTGTCCTCCTGGGTTAAGCTCCTCATGTGAGTCACTGGCAGCCCACACTGCACTAGCTCCTGCCTGAGGAGTTCTGATGACGTTTTGAAAAAAAAAGACGCAATCACAGCTTTTCATTGACCTGTTAGGGTCTTCCTGTAAAGGGGGTCTTACCAGGAGTCCTGTGTGGGCTTCAGGGTAGGGGGCCTTTGAACCCCTAAAACTTATATTCCAAATGTGTGGATGGCATATTTTTAGATTTCATTTGTTTCTCAAATCAAAACTGCTGTTTGCAAGGCAGTTATGCAATGTGGTTGGTGCTATAACTGTTTCCAGAGGCTGTTGATCAGTGTCTGTTAAACTTTTTTTTTTTTTTTTTGAGACAGTCTCACTGTGTTGCCCAGGCTGGAGTGCAGTGGGGCGATCTGGGCTCACTGCTACCTCTGCCAGGCAGGTTCAAGTGATTCTTGTGCATCAGCCTCCCGGGTAGCTGAGATTATAGTCATGCACCACCATGCCTGGCTAATTTTTTTGCATTTTTAATAGAGATGAGGTTTCACCATGTTGGCCAGGCTGGTCTCGAACTGCTGACCTCAAGTGATCTACCCACCTCAGCTTCCCAAAGTGCTTGGATTACAGGCGTTAACCACCGCGCCCGGCCTGTTAAACATTTTGATATGCCAACTTCATGATCCAGTGCTGTAAACTGCAGGAGATCCAGCTGCTACAGCACAAACACTCAGACCAGTGTGCGGGAATTATGTTCAAGGATGTTCACTGCACAATGTAAGAGTGAAAAATAGGAAACATGAGAGCTTTGTTTATTATACTCAAACTATGGAATACTATATAGCTGTTCAAAAGAATGACATGTACGTACTGACATATAAAATGTGATAAGGTGATAAGTGAAAAACAGTTGCAGAACAGTATGAAGACTCAGCCTATTTTTGCTTAGAAGACAGTGTCTCTCTCTCTCTTTATATATATAGATACATATGCACATAAAGTTGAGAAGATCACACACCAAGCTTTTAACAATGATTGGGGGGGCACGATGGCTCACACTTGTAATCCTAGCACATTG